CAAAAACATTTTACAAATTACATACACTACAATAATGGAAAACAGAATAGAACAGGATGATATACGAAGCACAAAATAAAGGCCAAAAGGTCTGTCATTGTTGTAACCCCTTTTGGCAACAAAAATAATAGTATATCATTAATAAATAAAAATAAATAAACATGTTCGTACTCATGTGTAGTTGTGTTAAGTCTGATGTGCAATACGGTAATAAATTAAACAAGACAATCTCCTAGATAGCAAGCCTCGTCTGTGTTAAACTAAATATTTAATTATTTGTTTATTAACTGTGGGGTGAAGGTAAATTATATAGGCCAGTATCCTCCATCTGAGTAGCACTCGTGGCGCTTTGTGCATTAACAACAGGGGGACAGAGAATAGTGATGTTTTATAGTTAATCATTAAAACAGTTTAAAACTTTTAATAATAATTTTTTTTTTTAATTGAAATTACTGTAAAAATGCTACATTGAAAACCAGAATTAACTGAATTAATTTAGGCAATGAAAAATAAACAACACGCACAATACGAGATCACCAATTAGAATCAATTTATTCAAAATAATATGCAGAAATTTAAACTTTATGATATTTATTTATATTTATGATATAATTTATATTTATGATATATATATATTTATTTATTAATATACCGATTTCCGTAAGTAGCTGAAATATAGACTGTAACTTGCCAAATGAGCAAGTTATTCCATATTTCGAATACTGTATTTCATTTCTTTCAAAAATACACTAAAAGTAAACCAAATTATAATATAATGATAGGTCACATATAAATGAAATTATAAAATTACTGTAACTCGTCAGATGAGCAAGCTATTCTATAGGCCTATTTTCTAAATAAAAATGTACGATAAATACTAAACCAATAATTAAAGAATAAATTGAAGTAAGTGTTTCATTAATAAAACTATTAACAATATATTGCGGTATAATAAATATTTAAACAATTTAAACAAAACCGTCAAAAAAATATATATTACAGAAATATAAAAATACCTTCATTACATGCCCCTTGATCAAAATTAACTCCTTTTTTCCCTCTATTTTGTGTTGTTAAATTTAATGTTATACATCCTTATAATTATTGTCATTATTTTTGTGGAGATTTAAAAATTAGTAAGTGGCTACTGTACATAATACAGAACACATAATTAAAGTGACAATGACAGGGAAAATTTAAAGGAAAATTGGGCATGTAAAATAAAGTGTACCTAAAAATAAGAGCACTGAGGTCAGAATGACAGGGATTGAAATTCCCTGGTGGAATTGCACATCTAAAATGACTCAGAGCTTACTCTATCAATTTGATCGATGATTTTCCTAGGGGTGCCTGA